TAAGAACAGACTTATAACAATTAAAGATTGAATCTATAACTTTTAAAACTAACAAACGAGGGCCAAATGGCATCACAAGACATTTAAAGGATTTATGCTAAGTTTTCTCAAGCTTGCAAGCTATACAAGAGGAAGGATAATCAAAGACACCACAGGAGAAGAAAATTATACATTAAGACATTTTGTGACTATATATACAAAACCCTCAACAAAATGCTAGCAAACTGAATCCAGCAGTGTTAATAAAAGTGTTATATCCCATGACCAAGTGGGATGTATCCCAGGAGCACAAGAGTGGTTCAACATAAGAACCGATCAGTGTCATTTACCACATTAATTGAATGAAGGGGAAAAGCTATAATCATCTCAATTGATGCCAAAAAAAGTGTATTTGACAAAACAAATTCATTTTCACAATGAAAACACTGAGAACTCCATCCAAGGCAACTTCCTCAACATGATAAAGGGCATTCATGAAAAACCCACAGCTAACATCATGTCCATTAGTTGCCAGGGTCGAGCCCCAGCAGGATCCAGGGGGAGCCCTCAGGATGAACGGCGTTGGCGAGAGAAGACACGTGAGACCAGCCTTGATAGGGCCAAGTCTGCGAGGTAGAGAGAGAGAGAGAGAGACCAGACGGGGGATGCAGAGTCTGGCAATCCTTTATTTTTTACCATAGCTTTTATACCCTAAATTAGTACATTTCTAAGGGGAAGATAGTTTAACATTACATCAGCTTGTCCTTCACGAAACCAGGGTGTTTTCTGCATACTTCTTTGTTTATGAGGGTCTTGTACATTATCTTCTGGCCTTGGGGCCTATTAACATTTTATGCAGGTCTGGTGAATGTAAACCTATTTTCTGTTTCTATGGTGACCTTAACTGAAAGGTAGCGGTCTCATAGGGCAACAGTACAGAGTAGAAGTATAACCTTGTTAACACAAAAATTAATCCTTCTGCAGGAGTTGTCAGTTGCGTCTATCTAAGAAGTTTACCCCAGACTGACTCTGGGACTTTGGTGAGGCAGCCTCTGCCTAGCACTCCTGGCTGACAATTAGCAACCATCTCATTGTTACCACACTAGGGCTAAGCTCTTATTTTTCTAGATCTATAACTATATTAACAATGGTTTCTATAACATAACCTTAGCACATTAAGAGCGAAAACACAGCAAGCAAATGTTAACCCAATAACCACCTTTAGAATAATTTTTCTTGTATTTTCTAATAGGGCTTCCTCACCCCCCGAAGGGCTCTATGTCTGTTAGGGCCTTTGTATGATCAGGTTCTTTATGTTATTTTATGATTAGGGTATTATAAGCAATCATGCATATTAGTATCAAGGGCATAAAAGCATTTGCCAAACAAACTAAAATACCAGCAAAGGAGTTTAAATTAAAACACTCCTTTCACTCTGGATAATCTCATAAAATTCCACCACCCAGGAAACTTATTGATTAAAGTTCTAAATTGATTCTAATTTGGGAAGAGATCGGGGAAGGCCTTCTGCCTGTGTCACAGAAATTAGGGAGTGGTCTATTGAGGCAGGCATCAGAAAGACAGATATCATCTTTAAGGTGAGCGCCGGGGGCAGCTTTTCGGAATCCCTGAAAACCTGATCTGCCTTGCCTGTCAGGTTTTCTCCTCATGACCTTGTCATGGGTGGGATCTCATGTGCCGGCTCCCAGCAATTAGTGAAATATTAAAAGGTTTTCCCCATAAATCAGGAAAATATGCCTGCTTTCACCTCTGCTCTTCAGTATTATATTGGAAGTTCTAACCAGAGCAATCAGGCCAGGAAAAAAAAAATAAAAGGCATTCAAATTGGGAAGGAAGAAATAAAACTGCTTCTGTTTGTATAAGGCACAATCCTATATATATAATAAGAAATCTCGAAGAATCCATTAAAAACCTGCTAGAGCTAATATTAAATGAATTCAGCAAAATTGCAGAGTACAGGTCAGCACACAAAATCAGTTGTGTTTCTATACACCAACCATGGTGGGAATGTAGAATGGTATAGCCATGGTGGAGTACAGTTTGGCAGTTCCTCAGAGTTTAAACATAGCATTACCATGCATGCATGCTCAGTCACTTCAGTTGTGTCTGACTCTTTGCAACCCTATGGAGTGTAGCCCGCCAGGCTCCTCTGTCTGTCGGATTATCCAGGCAGGAATACTGGAGTGGGTTGCCATCCCCTCCTCCAGGGGATCTTCCCAACCCAGAGATTGAACACATGTCTCCTGCATTGGCAGGCGGGGGTTCTTTACCACTAGCACCACCTGAGAAGCCCTGGCATTACCATGTGACCCAGTAATTCCACTGCTGGATACATACCTGCAGAATTCAAGGCAAATACTCATCAAGTACACATACGTCATGTTCATAACACTGTTCACAGTAGTCTAAGAGGTGTAAGCAGCCCAGACGTCCCTCAGTGAATGGATGCAGAAACCAGATCTGTTGTGTCTGTACCGTGGAATATTATTCGGCCATAAGGGAGTGAAGCACTGGTACATGCTGCAGTGACTGAACCTGCAGAAACATTAGGTTGAGAGGAAGAGTCCAGACATCAAAAGTTGTGTATCATGATTTCATTCACATGCGAGGTCAGGAATGAGGTAAATCCATGGAGACAGAATGCAGGTGGGTGGTCACCAGGCACTGGGGGCCAGGAGATATGGACTAATGCACTGGGGCTTTGAGGTGATGGAAATGAAAGGTCTTGGAACAAGATACAGATTTTGATTGCACAACATTGTAAATGTACTAAACGCCACTGAAGTGTTCATTTAAAACAGTTATTTTGTTTGTGAACTTCACCTCAATATATAACAGTAAAATGAAAACAGAGCCCCTGTGGGGATGGAGAGGGGTGGAGCCCCCGGCCGAGGCTGTGGTGCTGCTGGGGGCTTGTGTGGTGGGGCAGGTGCTGCTGAGTGTCTGCTGGGCCCCTCGACAGCCACAGCCACGTGAGGACTCGTGAGCATGGCTCCGATGGGGCACTTTTCACAAACCTGGGAGCAGCCAATCATACAGGCCTCCATTGTTTCCTCTTGGGAAGTCTAACAGGTTTGCTGTGTGCTGGCTGGCCAGTCGGTGCCACACTTGCAGAGGCAGTGTGGCAAACAAGTGCATTTGTTTACACATCTTTTCCTTCACCATTAAACCCAGTGTTTTTAATGAAAATTTTTCTTAAAGCGTATTTCTGATTTTATATTTCCTTTGAAAAAAAGAACTTTCATTATTGTTTCCAGTAATTCTTATGTTGCAGAGAATTGTATCCAGTCTAGCAAATCAAAAATGCCATTACCCTCACCCATAGGACTCACTCTTGTTTCCCGTCTCCGTAAAATCCTTCCAGGCCAATAGTCTCTCTGGCCCCAAAAGGAGTTCCCATTTCCACTCCCTCAGAAGCCATACCAATGACCTTGTCTCAGTCAGGGGTCAGTGAGCCATGGCCCACAGGCCAGACCCAGCTCACCAGTTGTTTATGACCTGCAAGCAAAGAACAGTTCATAGTTTTTTAAGGATTGTAACAGAGCAGACCTTATGACAGAGACTGCAGCCACAGAGCCCGGAATAGGTCCTCTCTGACCCTTCATGGAAAAGCTATGTCCCTTCTTGTGCAGCCAGGAGAAGGCAGGGCTCCCTGGGCCACCCTGTCCAGACCCTTGTTTCCTGCAGTGACTGCCCTGTTTGTCCCTGCAGCCCTCACTGTGCCCCTATCACACATGGGAGCCCCGCAGGTGCCCCGCAGCTGAGGCCTTGGGAGAAGATGGTAGCCCACCTGCAGGTGTGATGACAGGCCTGCCTGAGGGTCAGCAGGAGGGTGAAGCAGGGTGCCTCACTGTGTGTAGCCACATGGTCAAGCTCCATGGAGGGGGTCTTGGCACAGACTCTGTGCAGGGCCTTCTAGCTGGGCCATGAGTCAGGTGGCCAGAATGCAGATTGTCACCACCAGACACATGGGCAGGGCAGTCAGGCTGAGCATACGATTCAGTTGGGTCTGCACTGAGGAGAATAGAAGACTCCAGGTGACACGGGGAGACAAAATGCTGTTGTGGGGGGAGATTCCAGAAGTTCCAGTAGGGGAATGGTAATCATTCTTGAACTGAGGGGCAGGTCAGAGGGCAACAGGCCCAAGGAGGCTGAGACTACCGTGGTGTGCCCTTCACCCACACACTCAGCACCCCTGGGTGGCCCCAGCCTTGGGATACGGAGCCCTGTTGGGAGCAGTGGTCAGAGAAGTCCTCTTCTGTGAGGTATTTCAGCTGAGATGGGCTAAAGGGAAGGAGAGAGCATGAAGACCATTGGGGGGGGTGCCATGTGACTTTCTGTTTGTCATTTCAGGCTGGGACACCAGGACTAAGGGCCAGGAGTTTGTTCAGAAGGAAGACACTTCTGAGGACTTGGAATCAGAGGTAGAAATATCAGACAGCTCTGGCAGTGATGCTCCACAGACACCTGAGCTTGGAGGACTCCGTGGTGGTGTAGAAGAAAGAGACTGGGGGGTCCTTGAGGATGAGAGGCAGATGCACCACCCTCACCCGGAGGGGGCCTTCACTCTAGTGCAGATGCTTCTCAGGAGCCCCTCAGGAGTGAGAGAGGTGGGCTGTGATGAAATCAAGAGCAGCTGCAGCCGGAGCCCAAGCCCAGTGGAGTGTCAGGGGCCTCCTGCAGTGGGGAGGCCCCATCCATGTGGCATACAGAGCCTGCCCTGCAGCTTGGACCTGCCCAGCTGCACAGGACTTCATGTGGCCGAAAGCCCGTTCATATGCAGCGAGTGTGGGAAAACCTTCCAAGGAGACTCCGATCTTACTCAGCATCAGACAGTGCACCCTGGACACAAGTCCTTCATCTGTAACGAGTGTGGAAGGCTCTTTAGCACACACACAGTCTTCCTCCAGCACCAGCTCACCCACCATGGGGAGAAGTTGCATGTGTCTTCTGAGTGTGGGAAGGCCTTCTGCCAGAGCCCCAGCCTTAAAAAGCACCAGAAGTCCCATGTGAGCGAGAAGCCCTACGAATGCAGTGAGTGCGGGAAGACCTTCAGGCGCAGCTCCAACCTCACCCAGCACCAGAGAATCCACTCTGGCGAGAAGCCGTACGTGTGTCATGCCTGTGGGAAGGCCTTCAGGCGCAGCTCCAACCTTGTCAAGCACCAGAGGGTCCACACAGGGGAGAAGCCCTTTGAGTGTCCTGAGTGTGGCAGGGCCTTCAGCCAAAGCTCACACGTGAGGAAGCACCAGAGGGTCCATACCGGGGAGAGGCCTTACTCATGTAGTGAGTGTGGCAAGCCCTTCAGCCGGGTGTCCAACCTCATCAAACACCACAGGGTCCACACGGGGGAGAAGCCCTACAAGTGCAGTGACTGTGGGAAGGCCTTCAGCCAGAGCTCGAGCCTCATCCAGCACCGGAGGATCCACACCGGGGAGAAGCCTCATGTGTGTGCTGTGTGTGGCAAGGCCTTCAGCTACAGCTCGGTGCTCCGAAAGCACCAGATCATCCACACAGGGGAGAAGCCGTATGCGTGCGGCGTCTGTGGGAAGGCCTTCAGCCACAGCTCTGCACTCGTGCAGCACCAGGGTGTGCACACGGGCGACAAGCCCTACGAGTGCCGCGAGTGTGGAAAGACCTTTGGCCGCAGCTCCAACCTCATCCTGCACCAGCGGGTCCACACGGGAGAGAAGCCCTATGAATGCACTGAGTGCGGGAAAACCTTCAGCCAGAGCTCAACTCTCATTCAGCATCAGAGGATCCACAACGGGTTGAAACCTCACGAGTGTAACCAGTGTGGCAAAGCCTTCAACCGGAGCTCCAACCTCATCCACCACCAGAAGGTCCACACTGGAGAGAAGCCCTACACCTGCGTCGCATGTGGGAAGGGCTTCAGCCAGAGCTCGCACCTCATTCAGCACCAGATCATCCACACGGGCGAGAGGCCCTATCAGTGTGGTGAGTGTGGGAAGTCCTTCAGCCAGCGCTCCGTTCTCATCCAGCACCAGCGGATCCACACTGGGGTGAAGCCCTACGACTGCACGGCTTGTGGAAAAGCCTTCAGCCAGCGGTCAAAGTTGACCAAGCACCAGTTGATCCACACCAGGGAGTGAAGCCCTCGCAGCTTCACCCTGACCTCCTGGCTGTGCCTCACTCTCCCTCCCCAGACTTGAGGTGGACTCACTCACTCCGTCCACTCCATGGTCACCGCCCTTGAGGCCACCGTCCACAGACTGGGGACCCTCTTGTGGGTCGTGCTCCTTCTCCCAAGTCCCCTGCCATCACCCTTGTCTCCTGTGAGCTCATTTCTCTTTGTTGTTTGTTTTTCCAGTTTGTTATGAGACAGCTGTACTTGCTAGAAGGGAAAGGATTATAGAGGCTGTGCACTCATCCGTAGCGTTTATCACTGTAAAGGAACATGACCAAGAAAGTAAATGACATTTGGTTTGAGACAGCCACAGACCTTCATGTGCTCACTAGTCAAGGGGCTGAGTCCGTTGTCAGTGGTTGTGGCTGCTATCTATTTTCATAATGTCAGGTTGAGAGTTTCAGGTCTGCTTGCTGTCACCACCGCCCGCCCCCGCCCATCCTGCCTGGTAATGGGACTTGACCCACCCTGCTCCCCCCTTTCCGTGGTGTCCGTCTGCAGTCTGTGGTTGTGTGTTCTTGCTCTATGGTGACTCAGGCCCTGTGGCCCCACCCAGGCTGCAGCACAGTTGTACATGAGGCAGTTCCTGAGCTCTGGTCCTGGGCCTCACCCACAGGGGCCGCTCTACATGCTCCTCCCTTCCTCTCCTCAGGCTCCCGGATCCATCGCCAGACATTTACAGGGCATCTAGGTGCCCCTAAGAGGTGGGCATTGGCTCCCGACTCCCTGCACAGGGGAGCTTAGCCTGGAAGCCACACTTCTGCCACCAGAGAGGTCCTGACCTGGGAATGTCCTGGGAAGGATGGGGGACCCTTCCTGCACTCTTCCAGGAGGAAAGGAGGCAGTGACTTGTAGTCATGAAGGGAAGGGAAGGTGTGGCTTCTGAGTTCTCAAGGAAGCAGAGGCAAGGCCAGCAGTTGCAAATGTGGAGGGAGAGATGGTTTGAGGCTGGAGAGAAGAGAGGGTGGAGGGGTGATTCGGATGCGCAGGCGAGTCCATGGGCTTGGGTGGCACGGGCTGCCCAGCCTCCCCTCCAAGGCCCCGTGAAGCAGCTGTCCATGCTGCCCTGCAGAGGCCCTGTCATACCCTCCCCTACACTTCGGGCGCCATCCCACCCCCTCTCCCCAGGCAACACCTAATGGGAAACAGTTTCCAGACTTGGCCTCAGCCTGAGGAGACTGCTCCTATTCTTACTGTCAGGCAGCTCCTCTGGCTTCATGCTCCTCCTCCGCCAGTCTGGCTTTGATTTATGATTCCTTTTTTCAGTAAGTAGCTGTGTCCGCCTCTACTCCTGCTCTGTCGCTGATTGGCCCGCTTGCTGCTGGCCCGCGTCACTCAGCCCTGCTGCACGTGGTGTGCTGTCACATCCTCTGCTACGGAGTCGGAGACTCCTCCAACAAAAGAGGCTAAAACTGGTGCAGTGCCAAATTTGTGCAAGACTCCTCCACGGAAGGGGCTTCAGCCACCTCCTGCTAGGCCTTCTGGAGTCTCTGGACCACTCATGATGGCACTCAGTTGTCCAAGGGCTTCTGATGCAAGAAACTCCCCCCTTTCCCGCATACAATATGCCAATAGAGCTGCAGTTACTGGAACTGGACCTCCTGAGCCCATGACCCTCTGTACCCAGCTGCTCATTACGCTCTGGGTCACAGAAGCAGTATCCAACAAGCTTAGGGGCTGCGGAGCTGCTTTGGTGCAGGATGGAGCTGAACCTGGGCCTTTGGCCTGCTCCACCTGCAAGAGGAATAGCCTCACCTATCCTCAGCCCCTTTCCAGATGTCAGGCTGCTGGACCCTGTCCACCTGGGGAGCTCCAAGTTGGGATGAATTCGGGGGAACAGCAGTGGGAGTTCTAAGACTATAGGCAGAGAAGTGCCAACCCTCACGGAAGATGGAGCTTAGAGGAGAGCTGCTCATTTTTAACCGGGACGACCCTGATACAGGGCCAGACTGGAGGGTCAGCATGACTAGCTAAACACCAGGCAGTTGTCTTAGCGCCCAGTGACTTGACTCACAAACAGCCCCATCTGCACATTTTTACAAACTTGTGCTGTCACCTAAGAATTGTGCCCTTTGGTGTAAAAAGCTCCAGGAATCTCTTGCCTCACAGATGTCCCAAATACCAATCAAGGTCTATAGATGGCTCTCCCTATACTTAAGCAGAATATGAGGCCTCCCCTGCATGCCCTCATCCCCTCCGGAGCCCCAGGTTTTACTGAGAGTGGCCAAGGCACTCTTGTCAGTTTTACCTGCTTCAGGCTGCAGGCTGCAGAGTCCACACAGCTCATTTAAACAGGCTCTGAATTAGCTGAGTGAAACATGGTGTGTCTCTCATCAAACATCAGGGTGAGTGGTGACTAGCAGGCTGGCGCCTTGTGGCCTCATCCTCCTCATTTTGTGCCCACATCTGGAAAAGCAGAAGAGCCAGCCGAGTGCTCTGTCCTTTGATGCCAGCAAGAGACTGAAAGCATCCAGGCCCTCACCTATGCTCAGGGACCTTCCCTCCAGCCATACCTGCTGACCTCAGTAGAGGCCCAGGCTGATGACACTTCTTGCTCTCTCAAGCCATCTCAGATCTGTTCCAGAGGCCTTCTCTACCCTCCACAGAGACCTCCTTTATGTAGATAATAAAGCTTTTCATACCTTCAAAAAACCAGAAGACCTGCTTGGCCTCCACACCTTCTTCCACCCTGGTCTTTGGTTTATGGACATCAAGGTCCTCTCTACTGTGACTTCTCCCTCAACTCCTTGTTCTAACAAAAGCCTGGCTGCTGTGACTGCACAAGGTCCCTGGAGCCTTTCCCATGTACCTTGAGAATTAGAGATCAGGAGGACAATCTCCTGGCTCCTGATTTCCACCTCCATACACATCTGCCTTCAGCCAATAATGCCAGCTCCATTAAGAACAACAGACAAGCAGCCCTAACAGCTCAAAGCTGCCCTGGTACCAACCGTGCCATGATATCCATGTGCTGGCAGAGCTCTGGGAGACTCCTCCATGGATCCCACAGCCCAGGCCTCACAAACGATGAATGTAGGGGAAAAACTGTCCCTTGACACCAAGGGCCTCTCTGTGCACAGAGAAGCAGGGAGACTGGAGTGGTGTGTGAGAGCAGGGCCAGGGTCCAGGACCATCCTGAAGTTTCCATGGCTTTGGAGGCAACTCAGGTCTGAGTGGAGAACAGAGCCTTGATGGCTGAGGACAGTGCAGGCCATGCCAGAGCAGCCAACCACGTAGGATAAGGTTATTCCTTTCCCCTGTGGCTTGGCAGACACTGGCCCCTGGGCTTCCCTGGAAGTAACACAAAGGCATGGGGGGAGGTGGAGGTGGCCTGACTGCAGGTACCCTGTGAGGCTTATTCTGTGTGCAGGCTCTTCTGTGCTCATGGGCCAGACTGTGAATCTTCCGGACATCAGAACATTGACTGGGGAGACCACTGCCTACTGGAAATGTGATAGAAAGATGGCCTCAGATTTAGGGGAAAGGACCAATCTTATCCTATGTGGGAGCAGGGTAACAAGATAGCCTTTTGGAGAAAAGACAAAACTAGACTTACTCTTTACATCTCTTAGAAACTAGACTTACTCTTTACATCTCTTAGCAGAATAAAGTCCAAATGGAACAGAGATTTAAATGAAACAAAACCAAATGAGTACTGGGTGAAAACATGGGTGGATTCCTCCAGAACTGGTAAGTTAGGGAAATTTTACTGTAGCTTGAAATCAAGCAACAATAAGGGAAAACAAATGATAAATTTCATTACACAGAAATAAAGTTTTGCAGGACCAACACCTTTATATTCAATGTAAAAAGACAAATGGTGAACTGGAGGAAGTGTTTACAACTTATGTTATACATAGCACATATGAAATTAATGTACATAAGGTTATTTAAAATTAGGGTTTCATTTTCAACAAATGGTGGTGGAATTATTGCATAACCATATGCCAACAAAGTGAATCTCAATCCTTGCCCCACACCATCTAAAGAATTTAACTCAAAATGTATCATCAACCAAAATGTATGGCAGAAATAAGAGAAAACCTACTGACCTTCACTTTGGTCAAGATTTATTAAATAAATAATCTTTGGTGAAGATTTATTAAATAGGACACAAAGATCAGGAACTTTTGAGGAAGGAATTCAGTGAATAGGAACTCATCAAGATTTAGAACATTTGTTCCTCAAAATTTAAGGAAAAGGCAAAGCATAAACTGGGAGAAAATATTTGCAAAACATACATATCCAAAAAAGGACTTGTACTCTATGCTATAAAGAAGTCCTGGTGACTTCCCTGGTGGTTCAGTGGCTAAGACTCCATGTTCCCGATGCAGGGGACCCTGGTTTGACCCCTAGTTGGGGAACTAAGATACTGCAAACTGCAACTAAGCCTGTGAGTCAAAGCTACTGAGCCCACACACTGTAGAGAAGCCCGTACTACAATGAAGACATGGTGCAGCCAAAAATAAAATAATAATAAAATAATTTATTAAAAGTGATTTTGGAGTCTACTCTTTATACCATCTCTCTGGTATCAAATTGATTGCTTATATAACTTGTCAGTTGCATCAAAAAGACTGTACTGCTGCTAAGTCACTTCAGTCATGTCTGACTCTGCGACCCCACAGACTTGCAATTTTTAATCTTAGCATTAAGAACAAAGTTTTAAAAAATCTGCAATTTATGTCACAAAGGATTAACATAATCAGTTCAGTTCAGTTCAGTCACGTGACTCTTTGCAACCCCATGGACTGCAGCATACTTGTCCATCACCAACTCCCAGGGCTTGCTCAAACTCATGTCCATTGAGTCGGTGATGCCATCCAACCATCTCATCCTCTGTTGTCCGCTTCTCCTGTCTTCTATCTTTCCCAG